GATATCAGCTAGGAAAAATTGTTCCTTTTATGATGAATTACACGTTTGTGTGCAAAAATTGTTCTCCTACAGGGCTTGAAAGCTTCAGAAAAACACAAGCTTGTAAGTATTACTATTTATTTTGTGTGATTTCTTGCCATGTTTTTCACTTGAAGCTAATTTTCAATTGATTTCTTGCACTATCGCCAGCTATCATTTACTCTAAAATTCAATATAAAGCTGAATTCAGATGTAAAAAGGAATCCGTCTTTATTTAGAGATCAGGAGGACTTGCAGCATTCAAACCAGTGGGATCATACTATTTAAAGGCACAACTTACAATTTATCACCAAGTCTCTAAGTGTATCCCATTTTCTACCTCAAGATTTCAATGCTGATACATTTTGTGTACCACAACCTAAACTTTTTGAACTTTCATTATTCCATCTTTATTTTCAGTGTTTCCACAAATGTGTGTCACCGCCATAGCAAATATGATGCAAGCTAGTGTTAAAGAAGGAAACCCCCGGGTAAAATTCTCAAAAGACCGAGATATTATACCTTTCATCGAAGCTCATTGGGAAGGCATGACCACCATTGCTCGTCGAGTTACACAGTCCTGGCATTCAACGGTATTGTAAAATTTTTAATTTTTCTCTGTAGTTAGTGCAATTTGCATCGCATGATCCATGACAGTTGCGTAATATATCGATGGCAAGAAGAGATATCCAAAAAATTCTTGGATTTACTTATACAGTACAAACTGTTGATACAACTTTTTACAGTCGCCGTAATACAACCCTGCCAGTTGCATATTAAATTGATAGTAAGAAAATAAAAAAAGGAGGTGCAAAGAATTTTTGAAAATTAGAATCTATTCAAATCCAAATAATGCTTTTTTGCAAATTTTACAAGCTCAATTAATATTAGTCTATACTGAATTTATTCCAACCAAACATGTTGTGTTCAAGATTGCATTGAATTGTTCCATACCACTGACAGTGACAATACAAAGAACAATGAGCAGGGCAACAATATCGAGTAGATCAATTGGTCACCATGACACAGATAATGTTAGTCGTTTGCTAGTGACATTAACAACAGTTAAAAATGAGGACCAGGGTTCTTGAATACAACGATCTGATTTGAATGTAATTTTTTAATAATTCTAAAATGA